CCTCCCCAGAACAGCTGATTCCCACAAGATCGTCTGACTCCTGAGTAACTTTCCAGACATTTGTGGGCCATTTTTACCTAACGGCATCCAATGCGATTTCATGGCAGTAAAAATGGAAATATTCTGAGTAAGGCAATCTTTGTCAGTGTCATATTCACACGTACTGCTTTACATTAGCACATATGAGTCAGTATTTTACACTTTTTATACAACTGCAGAAGCAAGCCCCGAGATGAGTCCTTTATTTTCTGGGAGGTACCGCAAAATCAGCCAAGGGCCCTTCCAGTAACCATTTTCCGTCAGAATTTTTGTGGATTTTTGCTCCAAGAGCGTCAATATACATTGGGATAGTGTGGTTTCAACTCACTATGTAGATAAACAACTACAATATTGACTTTGAAAAATTGGTTTTCCAAGCCCTAAAAACTGCACTGGATGCCTTTAACATTTAGATACATATTCCGAATGAGGACGAACGCGTCCGAAGTTGTACAGAGGATACCCTGTCGTCCTTGCGGTTGGTTATCTTGTTGACCAATCGTCTGGTGATCAGGATAATTGAATTTCCCCACTCACAGAGATCTCTGGTCTAGACCTGCCTTCAGATAGACGGTTGTAGTTAGATAAGGGAGGGTCATTACACAAAGGTAAATAAACATAGCGAGGTTGTTTGTAACAAACCTAACTGCGGGTTTTGCATACGAGGGTAGTCCGAGGTCTTTTTGTCTGCGACAACATGTAGTTGTAGGTCCATGCCAAGCCTTAAATTAACGAAATTCATTTCATCTCTAATTGTCCATTTTATGACACCAGAAAGCAATTATTTACCACCGTGTCCAAAATGCTCCCTTACTTCCCCACCATTCCCTACCACAAAAAACAATTTTACTACTAAAATCTAAGAACCCACATATTATGGAAGAAGTGGGTAAATTCGTCTTCCATTGCCTAAAAAGAAGACGTCAAACCCAGTAAAACTAGTACCATGTATGTTGCAGAATATAGTATAATGCTAGACGTAGATATAGTCTCACATACCACTGTATTTTCTTTCTATGTTGTCTGTAACTGCAATTAGCCCTCGGGCAAGTATTTGCAATAAACTTTCTTTAACACACAAGGCAATTTGAGGGCAATAAAACTGTATTTTCAATGTCAATTCTCTGGTTATTTCTACCTTTATATCTCATACTAATAAATATCAGTCAGCAAAAATGCGATGTCTCTGACGTGGGGAAACTGTTGCTTGTTTCTGACCGCCAGGCTGTTTATTGCTTTTTATTGCTTGTACAAAGAAAAAATGAAGACACGCTTCAAATAGCGTATAAGGACTGTTTCAAACGCTTCAAGTATGTACGTAAATGTCAATATCAGACACATTTCCGCATCCAGAATATGGTTCTGTATTGTTGTCCTGATGCCTTTAAACAAAGCTCAATTCTAAAGAGTAAAAACCGAATGAGGTATTCTGTGTCCATAATATCACCAGGGTCCATAATATCGCCACCTTGAGAAAGAGTGTGCTTAAAGATATTTTTACTGAAACATACTTTTGGTAAGCACTCCTGCACACCTCAAATGTACATACCTAGGGTATGTTGCAGTAAAAATATCTTAAAGCACACTATTTCTCAAGGTGGCGATATTATGGACCCTGGTGATATTATGGACACAGATGCAGCAACTATATTGAGTACAATACCATTTTACCACTGCTTTCTGGAAATGTGAACCCTTTCTTGACCTGTGAAAAATGCAACATTTTAAGAAGAGAAAAAGAAAATAAAAAGTGGAACTAGGCTCTGTTAAAAGCTTGTTTTTTAGACGGAGAGTCTGTCAACAGTTCCTACAGTTATTTGCTGGCTAATCTACCTTTTACCCATAATCATTCATTTAATTAGAGACATTCATGTCTAGTTCCTGTGTCTCCAAATGTACGCATCTGTGAACCTTATGAAGACATGGAGGTCACGCACCGGACGATGTCTTCATACATGTGTATGTTTGGTATGCCCGTATAACAGATATACGGAATACCAGTCATGGCTCAGAGCTATGTCTATAAGCGGTACACTCAACCACGGGAAAAGTCACGTTGATTTCACTCAATTAGGCCACAGTGACATGATTTTATGGATGACATCCTCTGAAGACCCCCCAAACTTGTGCGCGCGGGCGAATAAAAAAAAATCCGGCCAAAAATAAAAATGCTACTAAACCACAGGAATACAAAGCTGGTATTGTGAATTTGCGGTAGTACATAGCGACGGTATACGACAAGCCGGCAAATACTGGCTTTTTGCAGAATTTATGAGTCGGCACTGTACGTATGTACTGGGTTCTTGAGTTGGTGAGCTTCGGTAGCCTGGGTGCCATCCTCCAGAGTTACCACCGGCTCCGTATTGCCGTAACTACCATAGACTACCCAGGCCTAGATCCAGGCCAGAGCCTCGGAGGACATGATATTTATGGGTTAACCACACCACGAAGTGGTGTGTGGTGAACCCATATTGCTTTTTCTGGTGTTTCTTCTTCTCCTCCTCCTCCTTCTTCTCCTGCCATTTTTTAAATGGATTCAGCTTCTTCATTTTAGGGCCTAAGGTCCTGAAATTTGGTATGGAGGTACAGTGGGCAAATACCCCTAGGCGTTTTTTAAATTTTTGTGATACAGGCTTTTAGAATGGTTTTATTTGAGTTTTTTGGCTGTGTTATAGCAAATGTATTACTGTGTTAGTGTGCCGTGTTTACCACGTTTGGGCATGAGTCATCACAATGGAATGCAGGGCATCAACCAATAGGCATGCAGCTTTCCTCTATACTTCTTGCTGATTGGCTGTTGGGATTTAACTTGATTAACACCTGCACAGAGCATTTCCACCTGCACAGAGCATTTCTTGCTGATTGGCTGTTGGGATTTAACTTGATTAACACCTGCACAGAGCATTTCCATACTGACAGTATGTCTTTACTCAAGTGTTTTGGTAGGTATTTCAAGCTTTTCTGCTCCAGCATTGGAATGCGGGGCATGAACGTTTTTTTATTTATTTTGAAAATCAACAGTTTGCATTATGCAATTAAAAATCCTAACCAATAAAGTAGGGAATAGCTATCCAACTGTTGTTTTAGTTGTATGTTACTTCATATTATAGTTATATCAATGTAAATCATTGTTTTCCCTTGTGTTTCTCATTCTTTCCCTGCCATGTCGTAAAATGTGGTGAACCCATCGCTGTATTTGCTCCAAAGCAAATATTGGCCTTTCTAGTTTCAATTCAATCTTTTAAGGGAAGTACATATATGGATTTTGTATGAAATGAACTTATGGAGGTTTTGGTCTTGTGTCATTATTGTGCACTTGCCCCTAAAAGTAGGCCATATTTAAGCACATACCGGTCTGCGCTTAAAGCCCTATAAACGCCAAGGTAGGATGTTATTTGAATTCAATTTTCTAGCAGAAGTAACTTTATCTATTGTGTATGAAATGAAGGCCTACAGAAGGTGGGTTCTTGCGTAGTTGCTCTGTACTTGTCCCCAAAAGTAAGCCATAATTAGGACATATTCAATTGTTTCCTTGT